TTCCTCTCTTCTGACACCAACAGTAGGGCACTATACTTCCCACTGATACCAATGATAGGGCATAATTCCTCCCATTGATACTAATGATAGGGTATTATTCCTCCCTTCTGACACCAACAGTAGGGCACTATACCTCCCAGTGATACCAATGATAGGGCATCATTCTTCCCATTGATACCAAAGATAGGGTATTATTCCTCCCTTCTGACACCAACAGTAGGGCACTATTCCTCCCACTGATACCAATGATGGGGCACTATTCCTCCCACTGATACCAATGATGGGGCACTATTCCTCCCACTGATACCAATGATGGGGCACTATTCCTCCCACTGATACCAATGATAGGGCATAATTCCTCCCATCGACACCAATGATGGAGCACTATTCCTTCCATTGTCACCAACGATAAGGTGCAAATACTCCCACTGATAGCAATGATGGGGCATAATTCATCCTATTACCACCAACGATGGGGAATAATTCCTCCCACTGACACCAACGATAGAGCACTATTCTTTCCAATGATACCACTAATAGAGCATTATTCTTCCCACTGATATCAATGATGGGGCATTAATTTTTGTACTCCTACTACAACCAAGTCTAAGGCATTGTTTACTCCCACTGATATTGGGACACTTTCTACTCCTACTCCCACTTGCCACAATCCAGCCCCCCTGGTCAGTAAACTTTGTTTAGAAACTTTGGAGACCCTTAGTCTAAATAAACCTTTCATTTAGAGTGTGTAATGGCCTGAATACCAGAACCCTGCTGGGTTTAGCACCTTGATATAAGATCCCTTTAAAAAAGAAACTCCAATTTCTTTAAAGCCCAACTCCAGGATGGAAAGAAAACCTTTCATTGGTGACATCCCCCCCCCCCCCCCACAACTGTCAGGGTAAATGCTTGCCAACTACTTTCCACATCCTCCCTCTGTCAAGCTCTGGCACTCTTCTACCTGATGCTCCAGGCTGTGGGTGCTCCCTTGGCATCATCATGTACAATTCAGGGCTGTTTGTCCTGCATTGTATGTGAGGTGGTAAGTGCGCAACCTCATGCCAATGCGTCTAAGTGAGGAGCTTCGGAGGACCGGTCATACAGATAGAGCGATACTGCTGGAGTAAGGAGTAAAGTACGAATTACAGCTTATTACTCTACCCCTGGATTTAAAATAGAACTAAACAGACCATTTTTCTATTGTGGATAGAGTAGAGACCCCTCTCAGCTCTTTTCAGCTAAAACTAAAAAGAAAAGGGTTTGCATTTAGTTATATTTTAAAATATAATTGCTATGTAAGCCTTTTCGGAATTAATTGTTTCCTTTATTCTTCAGCCAGCCCCAGTTTACTATACTATCTACATTTTCTTCCAAGTTTGGCATCCGCTTTCACAGTTATAGACAGGGTTACCCAGAATATTCATCTTCCCTTCTACTCCAGTTCCATCTTTCACAGACGTCCACACAGAACTTGAGGTTTTAGGGTAACCAGGGGCGGACTGACCATTTGGAAACTCGGGCACTGCCCGAGGACCCGGGGTCAGTAGGGGGCCCCATGAGATGCCCTTGGTACCTTTTTCATAGGCTTTTTGGGACACAGGGGCCCCATGATCCCCTATTGCCCGGGGGCCCCATGAGTTGTCAGTCCGCCCCTGAGGGTAACTATTGCTTTATCTGCTTCATTGCTGACTTACCCAATGTCTCCAACACTTGCACATTAAAAGGGATTTTGGGGGATGCAGTGTTTCATTCTGCACTGATCATGTGATTACTGGAAAGGCTTCCACCTTTCACTATGGGCACTGCAAAGACCTCATTATCTACAGAACAGATATAGGTATGAGTCAGTAATAAAGGTTTCTAAAATAAATTGGCCATACACACTTGGATTTTATTTTAAATGAACTGAAATTAATTCACCCCCAACCAAAATATGGCAAATACCTTGTCAGAAAAACAACAACAAGACTCGTTCTGTAGTGTTGAAGATGTTTTGTTGCTTCTCCAATTCACTTCTTCAGTTGTAATGAGCGTCAGGAAGATGCCCCAGTATTCATAGCAACACATGTAGCACAGACACCTTAATCCAGACATTCTCAACCAGGGTTTTGTAGAATCCTAGGGTTCCTCTAGAGGTTTTCTATGGTTTCATTTAGCTGTGGCCTTTATGACCTCAAATCTGTTGGTTCCTGCATAGTTCAAGTTCCAACAGCACTTGGCTGAGCCAGAAGCATGATATCAGTGTTCCATTTTCTGGTTGTAAGGATGGCATTCTGACCTCCACTCTAGGGGGGCATTCCTCCCACTGACCACCAATGTAGGAGGTATTGTGCCCACTGACCACCAATAAATAGCATACAGCAGGGGTTCCCTGAGACCTGAAAATTATTTCAAGGGTTCCTCTGGGGTTAAAAAGGTTGTGAAAGGCTGCCATAATCTAACTTCCATGGAATGTATAGATGTTGACTGTAAAAGAACAGGATTGGAGGTGTGAAAGTAGCACCACAGCTTTCAAACATCCCATTCTGTTCTTGGATACTCAAAATCTGTCTTGATACATTCCAAGGTAATTGAATTTTGATGATTACTCTACCTGTGTGGATTTAAATGCTGGGGGATGTTCCTGACAATCATTAGAAGAATCTTCAACATAAATCCAGTTGAATGTGACTAGCCATGCCATGACCTGGAGAATACCTTCACAGACATATCCTTAAAGGACTATGACTCTATTCTAAATAAGTTCCTTCCATCTATCCTCTAATATTCTGTATTGTGAACATAATGGATGGGATTTGGTCATGTAGTCATGATATCTTGCTAGTTTATTTAGCCCTATTGGATGTATAGCCTCTCTGGTTGATGACACTACGCTCTTTTTTTATCAAAATGCAACTGAAGACAGCTTAATGAACCAATAAAGTAAATGTAAACTCAGTTACTTAAATCTTTTATAACTTTAACAAAGTAATTACAATGGCATTTCCAATGTTTTAAAATCTGCAGCTTTTAAAACAATATCTGGTGATCCCGCCATAAAGGATCCTTCCGGTTATAAGTAGTAGTAGTTAGTCACGTTCAACTGGCCCTGTTCTGTAACAATAAAGACATTTTGTAGCTTCTCCAAGCCACTTCTTCACTGTTAATAAGTGTCAGGAACATACCCCAGCATTTATATTTCTACAAGAGGTACAGGCACCATAGGCCAATATCTCCATTCCTACACCTTAACCCTTTGAGGACCAAGGGACGTATTTGTCCCATGTTTTTAATTGCGTGTATCATCTGATTAAGAACTTAAAACTCTTTTTTTTTTTGGTTTGAGTCAAAATTTTAGTTCTTATCAACAAACAACAAATGGATCTATCTTTTTACCAATTATTTCATGAAATGGCTTAGTTACAGCAACTGAAGTGTACAAACTTTCAAAACAAAAAAATGTATTCTTTTGGCGTTCCAAAATCTTACGGTCCTCAACGGGTTAAGGAGAAGGGACATTCTTTAAAGGACAGTGGGGGTTATTTACTAAAACTAGATACTGTAAAATCTGGTGCAGCTCTGCATAGAAACCAATCAGCTTCCAGAATTAGTTGCCAAAGCTAACTGAACAAGTTGAAGTTAGAAGCTGATTGGCTACCATGCACAGTTGCACCAGATTCTGAATGCTCCAGTTTTAGTAAATCAATCCCAGTGAGTAGCACGTTTTGGACGGAGAGGACAACTGGTTTGCAAAAGATCCGAAAGAGGCTATCAATGTCAAACAACCATCTAGGATAGGGGTGAGGCGTTCAACGCCATCTGTCTTAAACATGTAGTGTTGTTTTAAAATCCCTACCCTAGTGATTTGATAAGTTCGCACCCAACTGCATTGAATGATTAAAAATTATGCAGTCTTTCTGACACCAAGGATGGGATTATGTAACTAGAACAGAAAGATTCCACAACTTTCACACCTCTTAACCTGTTCTTGGGAAATCAGTATCTGCCTTGACACATTCCATGGTGACTGGATAAGGATGACTGAGATACCCGTGTGGATATAAATGCTGGGGTATCTTCCTGATATGCACAGTAACTAAGTGCTTTGAGAAACGTCATCACAGAACAAGTCCAGTTGAAGGTTACTCAATACTACTAGCTATCAGGGGCGGACTGACCATTTGGAAACTCAGGCACTGCCCGAGGGCCCGGGGTCAGTAGGGGGCCCCATGAGATGCCCCTGGTACCTTTTTCATAGGCTTTTTTGAGTTTGGGCAAGGACACAGGGGCCCCATGATCCCCTATTGCCCGGGGGCCCCATGAGTTGTCAGTCCGCCCCTGCTAGCTATACAATAAGATGGATAAATATGAACCTTCATAGAACATTGCCACCCTTTAACAGAATGTCTCTCTCTATCCCCCAAATGCTTTCCTGCATTGTCATCATGAGCACTTCCAATGTCAACCTTGTTATGCAATGCAGCTGTAGAGAAAATAAGTGGGTGGCTGGATCATTTTAAAGTCCCTACAGTGCTACAGTAATGGTTCTTTGGCTGGAGTTGCCCTTTTAGTAAACCCAAGAAAAAATAATGGCAAAGCACAACTAGCGGCATGATGACACCCTTTTGTATACAGTCAAGGAGAAGCTTTGGTCTCCGATCTCCTGTTCTTGGATCCATCCCGCTAAGGCGTTGTGTTGGAACATCTGCTGTGAAATGTCTCTAAGGAACAGATTGCACTTTCATCTTTTTTTTTTTTTCTTTATACCAAAAAATATGTGACACGCATAATGTGAAAACACAAAAAGCCATGACCGACCAGCAGTTACTGTTGGTTTCAACCATTACAAGAAAAACAAAAGTATGCCTTGAAACTGAATTGCTTCACCTTGGGCAGAGCATCCTTGGATTCGGTGATGCCTGTCAGGACCCTTCATTTTGGACGCATCTTTTTTTTTTTTTTTTTTAACAGCAATAAATTCAAGTTTCAGTCTCAAGTGTTCCTGAGTCTCCATTGGTCTCACCGCCCTTTGACATTACCAGGTCTGGATCCCAGGCTAGCAAAATACGCGCATTGTGATGGGTCGCACTGTCCATTGGGGCCTGGAGGGCCTTGAGCTCCAGCAGTCCTGGTATCCCTGGTTCACCTTGAGGACCTGAGATACCTGGGATTCCATCTTTGGCATAGCCAGGTTCTCCGGGAATACCTAAAAGAAAGAATATGTTTAATATTGGGATTCAATCTTTCAAAAATAATTTCCAAGGTTCTGAGTATTTTAAAGGGTTTCTGGAGATGAGAAAACACGTCAAGGGAACCTGTTGCAATGTAATTAACAGAGCAATACATTTTGTAATTCTGGCAAAGGTCCATTACTGTCTGTGACCCCCACCCGCAAACAGGAAGTAGTTTGAAAAACAACTTTAGCAGTATGCAGCTGTGGCAAATTCACTGAGGGCTTGTTGGTTCCATACACTTGAAGGCGTGTTGGTTCCATACCAGTAGAGCTATGAGTAGAGTATGTGTATTTAGCTTTCAGCTCTTGAAATAAACGTACTGGTACGTGATGCTTTGAAGCAAGGACCCAGCAATGCTAGTTTTTAGTGCAGGGTTACTGGTGCTCTAAAGTCATTGCCCTGCATGTCCTGTCTGTCCACTCTTCCAAAACCTAAAACCCAACATACCCCCATGACTCTGAAGCTTTTTATAGCCTAGCCAAGGTTTTTTTTTGGGGGGGTTCAAATAGAGTAGTGAATGGTATCGTTAATACTGGGATTCAATTTTCACATTTTTTTTACAGGATTTGGAGCATTCTAAGGGTTTTCCAGAGAAGATAATAGGTTTCAAGAGAACGTGTTGCAAATTAAAGAAATTGTAAAGCTTCCCATATTTTTCCCTAAGAAAATAAACATGTTATACTTGGTATTGCACAGAACGGTCCCTTTTCTCCTCCTCTGGGGTCACCCGCTGGCATGTTTGACTCCTCTTCCCTTCTGAGTGCCCCCATAGCAAGCCCCATGCTATGGCGGCACTCGTGCAGGGTTGATTCTGAGCCATACTGTGTGCTTTTACAGATACCAGCCCCATTCTTCATCCCCTCCTCACAGGATTTCAATGACAGCAGCAGGAGCCAATGGCTCCCACTGCTTCCTCTGAGTCCTGTGAGGAGAAAGAGAGTGGAGAGAGGTACTGCTGCTAATTACTTAGGAGGAATTGGGGGGGGAGAGGTAAAAATGGAATAACGCAATAAGGTAAAAAAACCTTATGCCCTTACAACCACTTTAACTGACAGAAAAATAGGTTTAGTGCACTGGAAAAAGTCCATCACTGTCTGTGACTTCCCCCCCTCAAACAGGAGGTGATTGCCCTGCATGCCCTGTCCGCCACTCGTTTAAAACCTAACTCAACCATACCCCAAAAACTTTAAAGTTTTTTCCTTTTTTTGTAGTTTTGAATAGAGTAGAGAGTGGTAAGTCTCCTAGACCATTTTTTTGCAGTTTCATAGAGGACCTCTATGGCTAAGCCTGTAAGAGGGTAAAAACACATTAGAGAGGCATGGCCAAGTAAGCCCTATTGGATGCTGTCACCCTCTAGCATAGAAGCCTCCCGAATTATCACATGCTAGCGCTTGGAGTGGTTCTTCTTGATGTTTCTAGGTTCACAGAAAAAAATGGTGACCTACCTGGGATTCCTGGAGGACCTATTTCACCTCTCTGTCCAACTCCGAATTCTCCTCTCTCACCCTTAGCTCCCCTTTCACCTGCAAAATACAACACACCATATACCAGATATGTCAAAGATTTTATTGGTCTTAGAGGCTCAGAACACAAGAATAGAATGAATGTAATCAATCTAATGAATTATAAAAACATATTATAGTAACATGTAAGTTTGTTTTATGGGAATATAGAGAGTCTGGTGGAACAAGGTGGAAGCAGACCATGCAGAACAATGTAAGGTCCACATACAAGGTCCGGGCCCCCTTCACCTTTAAAAATCTCCAAAATACCTGTAAAGAAAAAATGTTAGATGCTTACCGTACCCCTCTCTTCTCCAACTCTGGGCAGGATGTCACTGTCCTACTAGGAAGATTTGTGGGGAATTCAGAGCTAGCAAAAACTCTAGAGAAGTCCATTGCACGAGCCTCTTCTCACAAAAATTAGGCTGCTCTGTATTCCCCAGGATCTCGCCAGAAGGAATGTGACATCGTCCTCACCTAGGCACCATGGGCAGAAGATGGGGGTAAGGTAAGAATAAATCTAACTTTTTATCTTTATAGGTACATTTTGTAACTAGTAACATTACCTGATTTTTACATTCAGAGTGGGCCATGACCGTTGAATTTAACTTTGCATTTTACTGCAAGGTCCATTTTAAAGAATAACTGTAATTTTGTAAAAATTTTGACAGTTCAGAAATCAGTCAAAAAAAGTAGTGGGCAGTATGGGCACCCGGCTGTGACAGCTTGCGGCTTCACAGCCGGGTGCCCACTGCGCTTTGTGAATTTGCGCTTTGTGAATGGCCCCGTAGTGTTCTGGAATCTGTCACGTGTCCCAGAAGACTACGGGGAGGGAGAGGGGGAGGATAACTTCTGTTTCCGATCGCCTAGGCCAGGGGTAGGCAACCTGAGAGCCACAGGACTACAAGTTCCATCATGCCTCTGCAAGTCATAACTGTGTCGGTTTTTTAATCTTTGCAATGCCTCATGGGAAATGTACTTCCACAACAGCTAGAGAGCCACAGGTTGCCTACCCCTGGCCTAGGCGATCGCAGAGGAAGTGGGAGCGGGTACCTGTCAAATTTGGGTACCTGCTCCTCCCCAAAGGTCTGCAGTCTCTGGTCATCCCCTGTACTGTGTCTGCAGTCTCTGGCCATCTCCTGTACTATGTCCGCAGTCTTGGTCATCTCCTGCACTATGTCTGCAGTCTCTGGTCATCTCCTGTACTATGTCTGCAGTCTCTAATCATCCCCTGTACTGTGTCCGCAGTCTCTGGCCATCCCCCAGTCTCTGGTCATCTCCTGTACTGTGTCCGCGGCCTCTGACCATCTCCTGTACTGTGTCCGCAGTCTCTGGTCATCTCCTGTACTATGTCCGCAGTCTCTGGTCATCTCCTGTACTATGTCTGCAGTCTCTGGCCCCAGTCTCTGGTCATCTCCTGTACTATGTCCGCAGTCTCTGGTCATCTCCTGTACTATGTCCGCAGTCTCTGGTCATCTCCTGTACTATGTCCGCAGTCTCTGGTCATCTCCTATACTATGCCTGCAGTCTCTGGTCATCTCCTGTACTATGTCTACAGTCCTGGTCATCTCCTGTACTATGTCTGCAGTCTCTGGTCATCTCCTGTACTATGTCTCAGTCTATGGTCATCTCCTGTATTGTGTCTGCAGTCTCTGGTCATCTCCTGTATATGTCTGCAGTCTCTGGTCATCCCTGTACTATGTCTGCAGTCAGTCTCTAATCATCCCTGTACTGTGTCTGCAGTCTCTGGCCATCCCCCAGTCTTCTGGTCATCTCTTGTACTGTGTGCCGCGTCTCTGACCATCTCCTGTAATATGTCTGCAGTCTCTGGTCATCTCCTATGTACTCTGGTCATCCGCAGTCTCTCTGGTCATCTCCTGTACTATGTCCGCAGTCCTCTGGTCATCCTGTACTATGTCTCTGGTCTCTGGTCCTCCTACTATGTCCTCAGTCTCTGGTCATCAGTCTCTCTGGTCATCTCCTGTACTATGTCCTGCAGTCTCTGGTCATCTCCTGTACTATGTCCGCAGTCTCTGGTCATCTCCTGTACTATGTTTATCTGTCCAGTCTCTGGTCATCTCCTGTACTATGTCTGCAGTCTCTGGTCATCTCCTGTACTGTGTCCGCAGTCTCTGGTCATCTCCTGTACTGTGTCCTCTGGTCATCTCCTGTATTGTCTGGTCTCCTGTACTATGTCTGCAGTCTCTGGTCATCTCCTGTACTATGTCTGCAGTCTCTGGTCATCTCCTGTACTATGTCTGCAGTCTCTGTCATCTCTCTGGTCTCTCCTGTACTATGTCTGCGCAGTCTCTGGTCATCTCCTGTATTGTGTCTGCAGTCTCTGGTCATCTCCTGTACTATGTCAGTCTCTGGTCATCTCTGTATTGTGTCTGCAGTCTCTGGTCATCTCCTGTACTATGTCTACAGTCCCTGGTCATCTCCTGTACTATGTCTGCAGTCTCTGGTCATCTCCTGTACTATGTCTTCAGTCTATGGTCATCTCCTGTATTGTGTCTGCAGTCTCTGGTCATCTCCTGTACTATGTCTGCAGTCTCTGGTCATCTCCTGTACTATGTCTGCAGTCTCTGGTCATCTCCTGTCTATGTCCTGTATCTCTCTGTCATCTCCTGTCCTATGTCTGCAGTCTCTGGTCATCTCCTGTAATATGTCCGCAGTCTCTGGTCATCTCCTGTACTATCTCTGCAGTCTTATGGTCATCTCCTGTACTATGTCCGCAGTCTCTGGTCATCTCCTGTACTATGTCCGCAGTCTCTGGTCATCTCCTGTACTATGTCTGCAGTCTCTGGTCATCTCCTGTACTATGTCTGCAGTCTCTGGTCATCTCCTGTACTATGTCTGCAGTCTCTGGTCATCTCATGTACTATGTCTGCAGTCTCTGGTCATCTCCTGTAGTATGTCTGCAGTCTTTGTTCATCTCCTGTAGTATGTCCGTAATCTCTGGGGTCATCTCCTGTACTATGTCTACAGTCCCTGGTCATCTCCTGTACTGTGTCCGCAGTCTCTGGTCATCTCCTGTACTGTGTCCGCAGTCTCTGGTCATCTCCTGTATTGTGTGTCTGCAGTCTCTGGTCATCTCCTGTACTATGTCTTCAGTCTATGGTCATCTCCTGTATTGTGTCTGCAGTCTCTGGTCATCTCCTGTACTATGTCTCTTCAGTCTGTACTGTCTCATCTCCTGTATTGTGTCTGTCTGCAGTCTCTGGTCATCTCCTGTACTATGTCTGCAGTCTACTGGTCTCCTGTATTGTGTCCTGTATTGGTCTGCAGTCCGCAGTCTCTGGTCATCTCCTTTACTATGTCCGCAGTCTCTGGTCATCTCCTGTATTGTGTCTGCAGTCTCTGGTCATCTCCTGTACTATGTCTGCAGTCCATTGGTTCAGAATATTTTTTTTATTGATTTCTTCTTCTAAAACCTAGGTGCATCTTATGGTTAGGTGCGTCTTATGGAGCGAAAAATACGGTATTTCTTCTAATGCATCAACTACTTTTTCAATATTTTTTCCCAGAAAACAGCATAACGTAAATAAACTCAGTTACATCTACAAACCTTTTGGACCCATTGGTCCTGCTGGCCCTTCAGGTCCCATAAGTCCTGGTATTCCCGGCTCTCCTGGTGGTCCTTGCCTGCCATCAATTCCATCCTTCCCAGGAGATCCTGGAGCTCCTGGCCTCCCCTGAGCTGATTTGATATGTGCTGGCTGCATCTGAGCCATGAGGTAGGCTAATTTTACTGAAAAAAAAAGAAAGAAAACAGGAACAATAAACAAATTCCATCTAGGTTCCTCTTTTTTTCTTTTTAAATAAGGAAGTGCAATAAAATAAAGCAACTAATTTACTGACTTAAGCAAGGAAACGTTTCCTTGATTTCACAAGTTGTGCTCCAGGACTGAAAATCAAATTTTTATTCAAATTTTTATTTAAATTACAAATATTAGCAGAGAATGGCACATACAGTCAGATCCATAAATATTGGGACATCGACACAATTCTAACATTTTTGGCTCTATACACCACCACAATGGATTTGAAATGAAACAAACAACATGTGCTTTAACTGCAGACTGTCAGCTTTAATTTGAGGGTATTTACATCCAAATCAGGTGAATGGTGTAGAAATTACAACAGTTTGCATATATGCCTCCCACTTGTTAAGGGACCAAAAGTAAAGGGACAATTGGGTTCTCAGCTGTTCCATGGCCAGGTGTGTGTTATTCCCTCATTATCCCAATTACAATGAGCAGATAAAAGGTCCAGAGTTCATTTCAAGTGTGCAATTTGCATTTGGAATCTGTTGCTGTTCAACTCTCAAGATGAGATCCAAAGAGCTGTCACTATCAGTGAAGCAAGCCATCATTAGGCTGAAAAAACAAAACAAACCCATCAGAGAGATAGCAAAAACATTAGGTGTGGCCAAAACAACTGTTTGGAACATTTCTAAAAAGAAGGAACGCACCGGTGAGCTCAGCAACACCAAAAGACCCGGAAGACCACGGAAAACAACTGTGATGGATGACCAAAGAATTCTTTCCCTGGTGAAGAAAACACCCTTCACAACAGTTGGCCAGATCAAGAACACTCTCCAGGAGGTAGGTGTATGTGTGTCAAAGTCAACAATCAAGAGAAGACTTCACCAGAGTGAATACAGAGGGTTCACCAAAAGATGGAAACCATTGGTGAGCCTCAAAAACAGGAAGGCCAGATTAGAGTTTGCCAAACGACATCTAAAAAAGCCTTCACAGTTCTGGAACAACATCCTATGGACAGATGAGACCAGATCAACTTGTACCAGAGTGATGGGAAGAGAAGAGTATGGAGAAGGAAAGGAACTGCTCATGATCCTAAGCATACCACCTCATCAGTGAAGCATGGTGGTGGTAGTGTCATGGCGTGGGCATGTATGGCTGCCAATGGAACTGGTTCTCTTGTATTTATTGATAATGTGACTGCTGACAAAAGCAGCAGGATGAATTCTGAAGTGTTTCGGGAATATTATCTGCTCATATTCAGCCAAATGCTTCACAACTCATTGGATGCCGCTTCACAGTGCAGATGACAATGACCCAAAGCATACTGCAAAAGCAACCAAAGAGTTTAAGGGAAAGAAGTGGAATGTTATGCAATGGCCAAGTCAATCACCTGACCTGAATCCGATTGAGCATGCATTTCACTTGCTGAAGACAAAACTGAAGGGAAAATGCCCCAAGAACAAGCAGGAACTGAAAACAGTTGCAGTAGAGGCCTGGCAGAGCATCACCAGGGATGAAACCCAGCGTCTGGTGATGTCTATGCGTTCCACACTTCAGGCTGTAATTGACTGCAAAGGATTTGCAACCAAGTATTAAAAAGTGAAAGTTTGATTTATGATTATTATTCTGTCCCATTACTTTTGTCCCTTAACAAGTGGGAGGCACATATGCAAAATGTTGTAAATCCTACACTGTTCACCTGATTTGGATGTAAATACCCTCAAATTAAAGCTGACAGTCTGCAGTTAAAGCACATCTTGTTTGTTTCATTTCAAATCCATTGTGGTGGTGTATAGAGCCAAAAATGTTAGAATTGTGTTGATGTCCCAATATTTATGGACCTGACTGTATGTAGTGATTGGGTGAATTCAATCTATATAGAGGAGATCAAGGCGCAAAACCGACGATTCACTGTTTATAGTCTTGTGCAGGAGGGGCAGCGAACCTGATGTATATACCAAGTCCATCCAATTGTTATATGACTGTGGCCAACAGACATTTGCACCTCCATAGCAAGCCTTCTGGTAGAGAGAGGAAGCAGTCTCCAAATGAGGTGAGAAGAAAAGACAGAGGAAGGCGCCTCTAAGTGTAAACTCTCATAAAATGTATTAAAAAACAAAGGTAAATTGCACTCACATGAAAGAACACAGTTGTAGCGCACGTGGAGCGCAGGGCGAATAGATCTATTGGCCTGCACTTCTTCTAGTTCCGTGATAGTAGTGTTTAACGTGTCTCCAGCAGTCTTTTCCGGCGAGGCCAGAAGGTTGAGATCGTGGAAGAACACATCCGCCTTATCGATAGGAAAGGAAGTAGGTTTGCAGTAGAGGGAAGAAAGAGAAGTGGCAAAGGATTCCACGATTTTCTTGGGATCAGACGACAGATAGCCTCCGGCCATGCGCAGTCTAACAGGTTTGTGGAGGCACACACCTAGTGCATTATCCAAGGTTTATTGAAGGAGTGAAAGAATAATAAAAACATACTCACAGACGAAGCATGTGTATAAAAAGCATAGAAAAATGACAATGGCCACAACGGCAGGCAAAGTGTTCTCACTGTCAGTGCGGTAAAATGGCTGACGCGTTTCGGGGACGAATCCCTTTCCTCAGAGCTGATGACCAACCTCTGATGCTGATGTATGATGAATGGAAAGTAAGAGCCTTGCTGTTGATGACTGAGTGGGATGGTGTGGGAGAGTGCTTTATGCCTGTGGGGAAATGGCTCATTTGTCATTTTTCTGTGCTTCTTAGATACATGCTTCGTCTGTGAGTATGTTTTTATTATTCTTTCACTCCTACAATAAACCTTGGATAATGCACTAGGTGTGTGCGCCACCTGTTTTCTCCCTATCCAGTGGCTGATTTCTCCGTCTGAGGAGGGCTGCACCCTGAAGCATTTCCTTTGGTTGTCACTGTCCTGGAACCCTTGGCTTCCCTTTTGGCTGTGCACATCCTGAGGCGCTGGAGAGTACATACGATATCAGGTTTGTGGTGGCGACTGGAAGCGTTCAGCTTCCGAGCCAACATGACTCCCGGCTTATTGGCATATGAAAAATATTTATGTCTGGCCCAGCGAAGGGCCCTCTCCGCCTAGTCAGAGGCCAGAAGGTCCAGTTCTACAGCAATTGTGTCACAGGCTCTTTGGGTCCGGACCAAAGGGGAAGACTTCCAGGCCGCCTCTGCTGCGCCAATTGGGTGGTGAGGTCTCAGAGCTTCTGCTCCCACTCACGTTTGCCTATTGAAGCTATTTGAATAAGGTGACCCCGCAGAGTAGCCTTGTGGGCCTCCCAAAGGGAGATCGCCGAAGGATACAGAGCCCACATTGTCAGGGAGGATTCCTGTGTCTTGAGGAGAGAGCCGGTGAGGTCTAGAATCACATGAAAGGGACAGATAAAGAATTAGCGGGTCGTGATCAGACCAAGGTGACGTATGAATCGTGACTTGATCGACTGAGGGTAAGGAGTGGAAAGGCAAGAAGATGTGATCAATCCGACAAAAGCTATCATGTGGTTTGGAATAGAAAGTGAAATCCCGAGCATGGGGATGGAGTTCACCAGGCCATGGGAGCGTAACAGCACGCGCATCTGCTCTTCGGTCGTCATCTGATCGTGTGATAGGGCGACCCCCAGGGCGTACAGCCTATCTACAGAAGAATCTATTGTGATATTAGAGCAGGGGTGGGCAAACTTTTTGACTTGAGGGCCGCAATGGGTTCATATATTGGACCCGGGGGCCGGACCAAGAGTAGATGAATGATGTGTATGTGTCATCCATAGTAACTATAGTAATATTCCCCCATAGTAAGCATAGTAATTAAGCCCCCATATAGTAATTCATCCCCCATAGTAATTCATCCCCCATAGTAATTAATCCCCCATATAGTAATTCATCCCCCATAGTAATTCATCCCCCATATAGTAATTCATCCCCCATAGTAATTAATCCCCCATAGTAATTAATCCCCCATAGTAATTCATCCCCCATATAGTAATTCATCCCCCATATAGTAATTCATCCCCCATAGTAATTCATCCCCATATAGTAATTCATCCCCCATAGTAATTCATCCCCCATAGTAATTCATCCCCCATATAGTAATTCATCCCCCCTATAATAATTCATCCCCCCTATAGTAATTCATTTCCCATATTAATTCATCCCCCATATTAAGTCCCCAAGTCCCCCCTGTGTCAATTTACTTACCTTTGCTCCGCGCGTTCCTCTCGCCTTGTTGCCGCTCCGTTCCGGTCTTCAGGGCGGACTGTGAGATGAGCCTAGCTCCCCTCACGTTCGTCACGCTGCCCCGCCTACACACATCCTGACAGCCATCCTGACAGTATCACGCTCCACGGGCCGCGGGGCCGTAGTTTGCCCATTGCTGTATTAGAGTATCTAAAAAGAATGAGGGTCCCTGAGCTATGACAGGAGATGACCTGGAGAAGATGCAAGAAAAATTTATGTTGAAAGCAGGGGCGGACTGACCATTTGGAAACTCGGGCACTGCCCGAGGGCCCAGGGTCAGTAGGGGGCCCCATGAGATGCCCCTGGTACCTTTTTCATAGGCTTTTTTTGAATTTGGGCAAGGACACAGGGGCCCCATGATCCCTATTGCCCGGGGGCCCCATGAGTTGTCAGTCCACCCCTGGTTGAAAGTGGTTAGGGGCGTAATATGTGCCCAATATGACATTCTGGCCATTAAGGGCACCCTGAAGAAGAAGGCATCGACCCGTGGGGTCTCCAATTTCTTTAGTACGATCAAACATTAAGTGGTGATGGAATGCAATCAAAACTCCCCTACGTTTCTCGGGAGCAGAAGCTAGGTAAAAAGTAAGATAATGAGGAGAAAGATATTTAGGGGCCAGGGAGGAACAAAACCTGGTCTCCTGTAAACATACAAGGTCAATCCGGCTAGATTACAGAGAATGAAAGGACGCCATAATGTGGAGATAAAACTAAAGTGCTCAAGCAATACATCCCCCCGAGAGCCC